ACTGTCCCACGCTGCCATCAAGAGAACAAACAGGAGACTTGCTGCCAGTCCAAAGAGAACAATTCCTACTGATTGATGCCCATGCCAGGGCAAGAAGCTTGTACAGCTATTTGTATACACGCCATGTAAAACAGAACTGCAGTACAAAGCTACCAGTCACCTTTTGTATGTAACAGAAAAGAACAGAGAGAGGAATAGTGATTTGGGGCTTAAGATTGTGATTATCTCCTTTTAATAGATTGATGTATGAATCTGGATGTCTGGACCACACACAAAAAAAAAATCTATTTTAATTCCTAGAAGGGAACCAAATATCCCCTCATGTGTCTTGCTTCATATCTGGTATCCTATATCCCTTCTTTAGGATGCCACCTATCCCAAATTCACAGTGCTCATTTCAGGAGTTCAGCTGGACTGTGGATTACTGTATCAGCCATTCACAGCTGGGGCTCAGGAGCCAAATGTAATTACAAGCGCCAGCAAAAATAGACAGCCTAGTCCAAAATACGCTATGATTTGACACAACTTGCATAACCCAGGATTTCAAATCTGTCATTAAGGACAGGAATCGGGGGCAATGAAAGTTGTAGAGAAGCAACTTGTTCTTAACATATCTAGCCTGACTACTTAGCTATTACTTTAACATGCATCTCCTGCTTCAAACACTTGCTGGCAAAATCTTAAAGATGCCCTCATCTCATACCTTGCACAGCATGTTTTCAGAAAGATCATGTATGGCATTTGATTTAAGAACATATATCCAAAGTGTTCTAGCTATGAATAAATTGCTCCCGTAACTAACACAGATTATATACACAATTCTATACTGAATTTCAATCCCATAAAAAGTAGAAAAACTTATCTTTCCAGAAACTAAGATGAGGTTATACAACTTTCTTCAGAAGCAACAACAAAGCATGGGCCATGTCTCTGCTTACAAACATGCTTCATTTTTACCCATAGTGTGTTCAACTGTGGTGTAAAAAATTTCCCTCAATGAGGACTACATCCTCGATTGCTGTCATGCTGCACCACAGCTCAGTTCTCTGCTGATCAAATGAAAAAGGAAATCATTAGAGGCATAGAAATAATGCACACTGATAACATAACAAACATGGTATCGTTTATATGATATAGCGGATGGACCCAAGCACTCCCTCAGAAAAGCCCTCCTATACAACAGTAACCAGAGGTTTGATTCCAAGCTTCCAGTGGACAGTGGCAGAAGCCAGCACAAAGCTAACTCAGGAATTCATAGGCTGAAGTCCTTACCCTCTCCTTTCCTGTATCCTCATGCTGTGAGGATTAGGCCTATAACTTTTAGCTGTAGGAAAAACTGTGTTGCTTTCAGCCACTACTGATTAAACAGTTAGAAATCAGTTAAGAGTTCTGAAATGTAACACAGGGAAATCAAATACTGCATACATATTCTCCAGATAAAATCTGGGATTTATTTTATTTTTGTGGATTTTCAGAAGAGTGGTTTTAAATGCCATGACAATTCTTAATGGCATTCTTAATTCCCAAGTACCCCCTAGTACCCCCATCCTACTAGGATGATTTTTGTAGAACATCAATTTCCTTTCATTATAATAGCAGAAATTCTTAAAAGTATAAAAATACATATCAGCTGAAATCAGACTTGGATGGTTAGAATAACCTACAGCTCCCCTTTCTTGCATCTAAGCAAGACTGCACTTTTAGCACTAGAATTCAGCTCCAAGAAAATGTTCATAAAATTCCAAATCCAGTTTCTCAAGGGAAACTCCTTGAATTGAGGCTGAACCGAGTCTCTACAAATTCAAGCTACCCTGCAATGCACCAGAAGTGTCAGAGGATATTTATTCCATAATATTGTCATGGGAAGTTGACATCATCTAAGCACATTTCTAAGCAAAAGCTACAATAAAGTATTGTAGGTGAACTAAAACCACCAACATGAATCTTCTATTAAATTAAGACAAAATTGGGTAACGAGAAGTATCTTATATTCCTATCTTAAACCACAGTCAAATAAGCATTTATCTGAAAGCAGTGGAGGCTTTGGCAATGTTTTTCACATAGACATATATCTGTTTAGACATAACTAAACAGACTTCTGTACCTGCTATACATATGCAAAGTATCTATAAATAAAAATAGATCAAGCAGCATCTTCATGGCAACACATACCCTGAGAAAGACAGGGACAATTCAGTCACCTTTAAATTAAAGCTTGTCTGCCTCTGTGCAAGTATTTCAGAAGCATTTTCAAGAGAAATATTTAATGGAAATAAACAATTTGAATACATACAGAACTTTCAGGATATCACATTACTCTGGATATATATTTGTGTGTGTATATATATATATATATATATATATATATATATATAAAACCCCCCGTCAAGATCCTGATTTCTTGGAAAATGTCATATTCAGGTCAATGTAATCTAGAGCAATGCAAACTTCTACAAGCCAAGTTAATTTCCCGAAACTCCCCCTCACTCTGTATAAGGGACTAAAACAATCCTCTGTTACGGAGTTTTCAAACAATAAGCTTTAATTGCCTTATTAGAAAAATAAGCACTGAAATATATATAAATGTGATTACATTAAAGTAATTCTGTAGTCTAATGTACTACAAACCAAAGCCCAGTCATATTTTTAATGATACAGAGTAACAAGATTTGGGTTTTAGAAATTATCAATAAGGAATAAGGAGGTATGCAGAATCATTTGGGAAACCACAGTAAAGACGAGACAAATTTGCACATTGCAATAAAAACTAAGTAGATCAATTTATTCTGTATACTATACAATGTGTATGTTTGTAAAGAACAATTGACATTTTCATCACTGTAACATCTTGACTGGGTGTAAATATGTCCACAAAACGTACTCCTGTGGGCTTTACACAAACACTGCCCTACTACATAAAGAACAATGAGAGGGAAGCCTTTGGTGCTACAGATTTGGGACATATCTCTGAAGTTGTAATTAATCCACTTGTAACTATCTCAAATAAAATGTCGGTGCTATCAACTATTATTAGCCTACATGAGTACTACTCTAATAACTAAACACTCTCTTTAAAGGCAAGATATGAAAGGGGCTGCCAGACTACAGTGTGGACAGGTTTTCTTTGAAAAAGGTCATTATCAAATGGTAAAACTCATATAATACATTATGTACATAAGTTTGGATAGCTGAGTTATCTTGCTGGAGTAAGCTGAAAGTAAGCATCATTTTGCAGTCAAGTTTGATTTACTGTTAAGTGATTACTGGACTTAAGTTTTCAACAGTGTATAGTGTTCAAATAGCTATGCCTGCTGTTGAGGTCTGTCAGACGTGAAGGCTCATAACCAGTCACTGACCTAGTTAGAAATACAGTACTCCAAAGATACACTTCACATGGATAAGATACTTGCAGCTGAACCTCCTTAAGAACTGCAAGCACTGAGTGAATATCCAAAGAGCTTGTGTTGTCCCAGCAGCAGGACAAGCGGAGGTGTAGGAGAACAAATGGAATGTTCAAATTTGAATGGCTGTTTTTAAACCTTCCTAAACATCAAGGAAACTTACCCTATGTGAACTACAGGATAGTGGCACCAGACAACACACAGCAAGTCATCTTCAATTGTTCAAAATTTGTTTCAATCCCAGTCCCATAATTGTTTCAATTTTCATTTATACATACAAAAATAAAGAGGGATTTTCACATTAGGACAAACATCTATAAAAAGCAGTTTACTTCAATAAACTCACTTTCCTTGCTATTCTGGTTTACATTTAACTTACTAAATTCTTTTTCCAGCCTAACTTCTTACCTAAAGAAACCAAGCAAATCTGTTTCTTCAGCCTGTTCCTGTGAAAAAAATTACAAATTCATTAAAATGCTAAAGGGTTGGGGGAAGGAGGAGGAACAGGAGGGTTTCTCTCAAGTCTGCCCTTAATTACTATACAGGGTGAAAGACTAAAGATAAGGTTAGCAATTTGGAATTCTCTGAACTGAGAAGACTATAGAGGTTATATAGACACTGATAGACTTTGCTCATGCTCTGATCAAACTGAGACCAAATTTCGATTATTCGTTTTCCTGATCATTTTCTGATGCTTAAGTTTGCATTTAGAAGAGAACACTGCAGAAAATATCAGCCAGCATTGCCCTTAGCTAGCAAATATTTATCCTGCAAGAGCTTTCTGAACATGTCAATAAAAAGCACATCATTTGAAAAACATGTACCCTTCATTAAAAACATTCTCTCTCATAATGCCTTTTTTTTTGAAGAAGAAGAAACTGTATCAGGACATTTCTTTTAAAGGAAAAAAGGGATTCAGTAGGCTGATCTTCTTTAAAGAGCTTATGCTCCCATAAAATATCAAGGCTATGATTACGTACATTAAAATCGATTACATTATAGATCACTAATACATCTGATTTCATGAACAAGCGTGCTCTTAAACACATCAAGTTACCTGTCTAATACCAGCTGTATTTTGGCAATCTAGTACTTATGACCTGCATCATGCAGATGATCTGAAGTTTGCTCCCATTTACTGACATGAAAAAACTGCCTATTCCTCCATAGGTCACTATATAAACACTAATTCCATTTTTTACGTCGCCCAAACCAGTAAGCAATTGTTGTATAACAGAGAGACAAAGAGTTAGACTACTTCCACTTTAGGAGTTCAAGAAAAAAAAAATTAAAGGGGTACACACACTCACTTCTAGAAATCTAAGAGTCAAAGACAATAGAATATCAAACCTTAGCAAGCTTAGACTTGGGGTCTGCCACACAGGAAACTCTCAAGCACAATCCATTTAACCATCTTTCCCATCATCACACAATGCATTTCAGCTATGAAAGCTTTAAGAGATACTGAACAGAATGGATACCTGTGTTCAAATATAGGTAAAAATTTCGAATTAAAGTTGAATGTGGCCTGTTGTTACTAAACAAAATAGACAGCTGCAAAAGCACGTGGCTGAGTCAAGTGTAAATGCGTTTCACAAATTTCAGGTTTATAGTTTTTACTTTCAGTAGCAAGATTCTGGGCTCTTAGTTTCAGGTACTCTGAAAGATACAGAATCACTTGTGCTTTGATTGGCACATTATCTGCTTTTTAAAATGTAAAATTAATAGACATTTGCAAAAGGTTGTGCAAAACTATTGTATTTACAAGAATGGCACAAGAGTGAATTCAACAGTCTATGCACATGCACACTTCATTCACATCTTTAACAAAAGTGTCTCCTAAGCTATGGAACTGAAGAGAATACCAGCTTCAACAGGCAGTTGTCAATAAGCACTAGATTCACAAGAGTTACACCAGAATGGGCAAATATTGCCCAAGTAAAAACTCTATTGTTAAAGCTGAAACAGGTTTAAGGCCGTTCAAGAGCAGGAACAAAATTCAATCAGAGCCCTGTCTTTGTTTTTATACATGCTTCACCTTCTAGCAACTTGTGGTCTAAACCTCTACTTTGGACAACAAACCCAAGCACAGAAGAAAAAAACAACACAACTGGAGGTTATATTAAATACAAATATGCTGTAATTAAGGTGAAATAACAAAAGCAGAAACATTAAAAGTTGTAAAACTTGCCATGTCACTTGCTGGAACCAGTCCTACACTAGGAAATGGGCAATATGTACATTTTCAAGTAGATTACATTGCTCTAACCAAACTTGTCCTTTTAATCAGTGCATTGTTCTCAACTAGTCCAAATACTACACATTTTACTTCTTAACAGTACTCCCTTACAATAGCAGCACATGCTATCGCTACCTGCAAAGCTGTCAGTCTCATGACTTAGTGTAAGAAAAAAAAAGACAAAAGGAAGGCGGGGGGGACGGGGGTGAGGGTGAGAATTAACTATTAAGGAGAAATAAAAGGAATGAGAATATTCATGCAGTTCAGCTCTTCTAGTCAGCCAGCCAGCTTGCTAGCAACAAGAGAAGGTTTCCGCTGCGGGAGATCCTGTGGAGTAGGAATATGGTCACCAGTGACTTCTGTCTTGTCAGGAGCTGCAGTCGGCAGTTGCTTATTCTTCATCTTTGCTTTAGCCATGTTGTAATCACCAGAATCGAAGTACTTTTGCTAGAAGACAAAATTATACATATTTTAAAGCCTGAAGTGTTACTAGATATACACACTGATATATACATACTTAAATAGATTCTTTAAAACTTACTTATTAAAACTTTTTGATTTGGTATTGATTGTTGATCAAAAAATCGTATCAAAACTATCAGGAATGCATAGATGAACTCTGAACATTAATGTATATGTGGAACCTTAACCATATTCTTACTATCTAAAAAAATGCAAGCATTATTTTTGCCTTGGTGTTCACAAAAGCATTGCACACATCTTCAGTCCTTGAGGTTTGTAAAATTTGTTGCAGCAAGCAAATTTTGCCAGACAGAATAACCAAACAACATACAAACTAAAGCTGGAGAATCAAGTCTGCTCTACCATACCAATTAAAAGCAGTGTGTGTGAATGAAATTCTTACCCCAACTCCATGTTGCTTCTGGACATAAAATACTAATTTAGGATCTAAAGAGTACATTAAGTTTGAATTTTGCTTTAGATTCATTTTATAAAAAGTTCTTTAAACATAAGCATTCTTATCTATTTTATTTCTGTAAGCTTTTATTAGCATTAACCTTTATAGTCCTCCATCTGTTTGCTGTCACATCCCTCAAAGCACTAAATTAAAGACAAATGACAAAGATATTAAAGACAAATGACCTATAATTATTTGTGTTAAGATTAGGTATCATCCGAGTCATGCATGACATCTTCAACTGATGACTGACACACTTCAAAGAAATGGTTATATTTTGCTTATATCTTGCTCAGAGGCCTATCACAAAGGTAGTTTCAACGTGTACCTTTGCACAGATTACCAAATGAAGCCCAAAATTAGATTCACTAGCAAGTGCTGTTTACCATGCACAATCATCTCTGAAGAGAACACTCCCTAGGAAAGTTTACAGAGGTAAGCAAGCCTAGCTAAGTCAGCTGAACAGCAGTCATTATGCTTAAGTGTTTCCAGAGCACACATTATCACCACTCCTTCATTTTGTTTTACTACTACCTGTAAAATGTTCAGCAGCAGAAGTTGAAGAGAAGTAATTTGAACACCTGAAATAACAGGCCTGTAACCAAGGATGTAAAAGGATGTTTATTCAGGGCTCCTGAAAAAGGCATTCAGCCTTTACTTACAAATCAGCATATCTGTCTTTCCCAAGCAGCCAGTTCACCAGACCCACGAACTTTCATTGGCAAATCTTCCAATTCAATCCCTTTGATGGTGTAATCCTTTATACATCACAATATTCTGGTACTGTATCTGTAGACAGGCCTGGAAATAGGCTTTTGTATTTTGTGCTTCAAGACTGAAGCAATGAAAAGGAACCTCTATACAGGAACTAAATAATAACAAATTGTTCAACTTTTAGATGCTCTACTGCTTTCAACTGATATGTATTTCTATGCAAAGAATTTGAATGCTTTCTGCAGAAGCACAGCATCCATTCTTATCTATTATTATAGAGTAAACAAACTAATGATATATGCACCTAATTAAACAGGCAGAGTGTGCTCCAGTTGTCAAATACAAAAGGATCTGAAAATGTAAGTGTCTAAAATATACCTAAAATATACCTTTCACACATTAAAATATCAGCCCGTTTCCTCCTTTAGCTCATTTCTACATTTTCTATTATACTCTAGCTCCTCATGGATGGCCTGTATTTGATCATCCTACTCAAGCAGACTCTAAATTTGCATAGAAGTCTTGGCTTCATAAAAGACTTAAAAGCTCACTCACTACCCAAACTCTACTGCAAAATGCAGTAATTCAGGCAGGTCAAAATACACCAGAGGCCTAATCACCAAATAAAGGTAATTCCTCCTTTAAAACACTGAACACAAAAATAGTAAGAGACATGGCACGGTAGAAAAGTATTACCACCACATCATGAGTGGAAAACTGAAAGAAGCAGGTTATGAATCAGAATCCACAACCTTTTGTCATCCTTCAACCTTTTGTCATCCTTCATCTCAGTAGCAGAATCCCAAACCCAGAACCAAATAAGATGACCTTCTCTGGATCAAAATACTAAAACCAAAATGGCATCCAAGCACTCAAATTTGAAAATACGGGCTGCAACATCTTTTCTATAAATGGTACTATTTTGAAGATGAAGCTGTTGTAGAGATTATTATTATCAATTTTTTTCCACATTTGTACTGTACAGAAAGCTCTAGCAATTGCTCTGTGGACAAAAACACCCACTGATTTTGCAGTGCTGTCTTCCCAAATCATCAGCACCATAAACACCTACCATGATCCTTCTGCGCCTACACACATGTATGAGGCAGCTAAGGTCTCACTTTGGTTGCCTTTGACCACATAACAGTCTAACTCATAGAAGAAGCCACCTAAATCTCCTCCTACCTGACCGTTCCCAGCAGCCATTAACTATGCTGTGTATGCTCTAACTTAGGAGAAGGCATGTCCAAAAGCCACAAACAGTAATCAATTCCCAGGAGATGTTATCAAAGAGCATAAAACCAGATCACCACTGAATAACAGTTGGTTCATGAAGGATTTATACCTGTAATCACTGTGTGCACTCAAAGAGCCTAAACAATAGTAAATAAAACAAAACCATTCTTGCCCTCACCTCCACCCCCCTCCCAAAAAAAGAGCAAAAGTAATGAAAGCCCCAAAAGCTGTGATAGTGTTTTTTAGCAAGAACAGAGGTCACTAATATGCCTGAAATGCACAACGTAATCACTTTATGAGTAAGCAGCAACAATCAGTTAAATGACTTTTTACTGTAGGCTAGGGTTCATATCTAGAACCACAATGCCATTCTCAGTCTACTGATGTGAGATGGTGCTTGGTGTAAGATCAGCTCCAAGCTCTCATGCACTAGAAACATGGATGATATAGAAGAATGGCCATGAGTTTTGGCAATGTCACAATGGGTAAGATAAGATCAGTACAGAACAAGGGTGAGCTTCTGACCTATAATGTTTGCTATAAACATATATATATATATATATATATATATTTTAAATGGAAGTCTATCACAGCAGCAGTGACCAAGCTCTAAAGCTTAATTTTCTTCTTAAAGGTGCAGTTAAGTCATTGATGCTGTAAGCATTTACGGGCCAAGGGGACAGTTATTTTGTGGTAGTGATGTTTTAACAGGTCTCTTCCTTGTGCTTTTCCACGAAAAGTTTCAACTTCTTAGCAGTTTTAGTCATGTGAAGGTCTGCTGAGTGAAAAAGAATCACAGATATGGGAGTTTTGGAATTTCTTGTCTATATTCTATGGACAACAAAGAACTCACTCCTTTCTGAAGCCTCTTTCTCAAGAAGTCTGAGCCTCCTGGCTTCTGGCCCAGATGAGGATATCTTGCTTTCAATTTTGCTTCTTCAGCTTTTTCTGGGCTGATCACCTTATCCTCCATTTCCTGAAACACAATTAATAATAAGTTAAATATAACAGAATACACTATTGTCAGAACACCTTCACAAGCAACCCACCAACGTACTGATTTACACTAGCATCTGACTGTATCCATTATTTGACATTTTCACATTCTCTCAAGAACTGCAAGTTCAGCTTCCCACCATACCTAAATACTTTCCCTGAACATGTTCAAAAATAACCAGCACAATTCACTTTTACATAAAAGCAGTATATATCAAAATCAAGTTATGCTATTCAATTTCAACAGCAAAATATTCTTGAGACAAAAGATAGGGCTTCACTAGATTCAAATAAATACTGAAAGCTGGGCAAGAGACCCAATACTTTATCCACCTACCTCTGCTTCTTCATAAGTAGCAGAGACAAATTAGTACTTGCATGCTTGAAAATCTATTTTTTATGACAGTGCTGTAACTGTGACGCACTGATGCACACCACGAAACAGTACTGAAATACCTCAGTCCCAAAAATATACTTGCTATCATGTTAATGACAGAAATACTGTAGTTCTTTATATTGGCCTTTTATCATCCTAAATTATCACAATAGATAGTCCATTTATGCAGAATAAAATACTTATTCTGAGTGCAGTGTAAAACGAAGATGCTCAAAGTAATGAAGATATTCAGCAAAAGATGTGACTTGTACATTCAAGACTTCCACGCTGACCTCTGTATGCTCCAGTTCACATAGTAATTTGACATGTACAGCAGAATTTTTTCTACTAGATCATTTCTAAAATACCTTCAATTTAAAATTATTTTTTCACTACCTTCCTGTATCCAGCGAGCATAATTTTTTTGCATGCCAACCATGGTTTGGGGAAAAAAAATATATTTATTTGAACTGGCTGCTGTAGGCCTTGAAATATAATTTCCATCTGAAGTCACAGGAAGACTTAGGAAAAGAATTGTCAGTGAAATGAGGAGAGCCCACTATTCATCCATGACTAAAGATCCATATTCTTTCTAGAGATGCATCGGGAGCCCTTTCACACCGACACCATCCTTTCTTTGCGTCAGCCTGCATGGCTACACGTATTCCACATGAACAGGTTACAGAAACTAATTCAGTTGAGAAACAACCATCTATATATATTCCTTTTTCCTACTAGCTGTGACTCAGTGGATCAGCCTCCCCAGTCTGGTTCACCAAGCAGCTACACGAAAGTGCAGGTCAGCACAGTGGCAGGGAGAACAGAGGAACGAAGCAGGTGGTGGCTCCTTCAGCCAGGACTACCAAAGACTGCAGCCATGACACCAGCTGAGCACAACCAACAACGCTCTCCTACATCTCTTGTAAAAGCTCAAAGATACATAATATGCAACATCTTTCTGTTGCGTGCTCCATAAGCAAAGGATATGGTGAATCCCAACAGTCTTAAAATAAAAAGAACAGTCCAGTTGCTCCAATAGTGCAAGACCTCACAAAGAACTTCTCACAAATGAGCGTGGATCTAAATTAATAGCTCCGCAATAGAAGGACAATAATCTTTGTAGTGACTGCAGAGAAGCTTCTATGAGGGCTGAAACCAAGACAATAATCCACATAGTGATTTCAGAGAAACTTCTTTGAGGAAAAGAACTAACACTTCTCAGATACAGATGAAAACATAGCTAGGCAGTACAAAGATACATAAAATTCACCTGACATACTACGGAATACTGTTTTTTTTTAAAAAAACTATATATCGCACCAATCAAAACCACAGTTTTTGTGTGTTATAAAAATTGTTTCCTAAGAGTTGCTCCTCCTGTCGTGCTTTCCTATCAACACCGACTCCCACATTTTCTCCAACAGTATCCTTTCAGCTAAACGCATTTCCAAGATCTAATGTCAGGCTATTCATCACTGAACCAACAGAGCATTTAAGGGAACATGACTTATCAATGTTAACCAATAAAAGAGAATTTAAGAACACAGGGCCTACAACAAATAGCTTGCATAAGTATGTATTTATGGTGCCTCAGAGGAGATACTTATGCAAATTATCAGGGTCGACATATCCCAGAACTGAAAGAAAACACACACACAGAGCTGTCCACCCATGTGGCTCAACTGGACACAGGCTTGATTGAGAAAATTAAGACTGCAAAACTTGGAGTGACAAACAGAACTAGTGGATGGTAGCTTTAAAGAGAAGACAACAGTTCTTCATATAATGAACAGTTCAGCTACAGAACTCCTTGCCAGAGGATAGAGCATATGCCAAGAACTCAGATGGATTCCAAAAGCAGCTGGATGTGCTCCTTCCCAGCTCAGGAGGTTTTTAAGCCATTGACTGCTGAGCCTCAGGACAGTATTCCAGGGAGGATCACTGCATGCTTCCCTAACCTTATATTCTTACACAGGCTGGGCTGTATCCAGTAGTCTTGAAGGTGCATCACTGGTCCAAACCCACACTGAACTCAAGCCAATAAGGCTGTTCTTACATTTTTCCTTTGAGTTATAGAAACAACCAAGTGATTAACCACCAATGGAAAAAGAATCAAAATACACCATATTCTTTCTTCTAGTAAATGATATTTTTTGTGGGGCAGTTGTCTACAGGAATTTCTACACAGCTTATAAATCAGCTTACATCACTAAAGAACAGCCAGTAGTTAGATAAATCACTGAACAGTAGCTCTTGCTTTTTAATCTTTAGAGAAGCACTGAACACATGAGGCTTCATATCTGCTGGACAACGGGACCGCATGGTTAAAAAAGAACCACCGGCCTTTTCAAACTGTGGTATGAAGAGCTCACTCTCTTTGACAAAAGAATCAGTCAGAACGGGAAGTAAAATGGGAAAACAGGACTACAGCAACACCATAATCCTTCAGTCGACAGCTATGGCAAAAGTCTGTCCAGAAACAAGAGGCACCATTTTTAACAGCTTCCTGAAAAATAAGATCTAAAGCAAAAAAAAAAAAAAAAAAAAAAAAAAAAAAAATCACTGAATCAACCAAGCACATTTTCCATGACCTAAAGGTTTCTTTGTTGTTATTGTTCAAACTCACCCTCCCCATATCCTTAGTTTTCACCCTGGAAACACTGTTTTTACAACAAGTTCGTAAATATATATCGCTCTCCTGTTTAACATCTTTTTCATCTATCTAATATATATTCTTTCTTTTTAGACCACATTGGAGCATTTCACAGTAAAAGGTCTGATCGTTAAGCCACTTTCTAGCCAAAGTTCTTTTAGGGGCTCAATCTTTCCCAAGCATACACGTAAGCAGTGCAAAACAAGGTGATTTAAACAAGTGCTTCAGAGCTAAGCATTTGTTAAGCCAATACTCAGCTTTGTCTAACTCGCCATAAACATTTTCAGTACAGCTTAGTACTGCAATGCCATAACACAACCTTGTAATACTGATATTACAGTATCCTTACAGAATATAGTCTTAGAGAAAACAATTATATTTGCTTTTTTTTTCCATTTCATTTGGCTTGAATCAGTAACCAGATTAAAACTGAAGTAGAAAAATTGGCAAGGGAGACATATCACATATAATCAGGGAATTTTCAAAATACAGCATTAAAGCACTACATTTGAAGACTTCATACTGCAAGTTAGTTGGCAAAATGAGCCCAGGTCACGTGACTTCATGAGAACACACTAGAAGGCATCACAATAAACTTGCTACCACATGTTTTACTACTCTCTTATTACAAAGCTATTCCGGGACTGCTGCCACAGATTTATTTTTATGTGCTTTGAATAGAAACACTATCCTTTCAATAGTCTACCTAAGCGTGAAAGCAGATCCGAGCTGCAGGACACACAATTTTAGCAGCATGAACAATACCCCACCAGCTGTAGAAGGCCGGACCCAACTACCGCACTTAGGACAGTATCATTCTGTACTGCTCGAAATCACTCCTATTTGTGCAGCATATTCACGTTACAGACTGTAAATTATTAAACAAAACCTTAAATAGGTGAGACAGAACAAGCTTTTCCTTTTACGGTCCTTAAGAGCAGCGCCTGCGTTTCATAACTTCTTCCTATCAGGAATAGCTGTAGAAATTGCAGCCGAGTCTGTGCAATAATGACGAAACTCGGAAACCGAAGGACTCTCTAAAGTCGCAGGCGGCACAAGGAAGCTGCTACCTGCACACAGCGCCTGGGGCCCCACATCCCACGTAAGCGCCCCTCAAGACTGCTCGCTACAGCCATGATCTAACAGTGCCTTTAAACTTCGCAGTTGTTCCTTCTAGAAGCCACGCCGAAGTAAAACGAGCAACAGCAGCGCAGATGCACTCGGGACATTTTTCCACCCTGTCAGATTGCACTAAAAAATAAAATTAATGAAAATAACGAAACAAAAGCAGCGGCGGTTTACCCAGCTGCTTATCGGGGTCTACACCGCGGCGGCGGCGGCGAGCGGCCTCCCC